CACACACACACACACACACACACACACAGACACCCCAACTTCATCCCCATCCCCATCCATACAACCACAATCCCGCACCACCACTCACAGAGCTTCCAATCCCAAGCTGAAGCTAAAACCAGACGTGAAGACACCGAGTCTCCTCTCTCCTTTCTGCGGCTCTGCTCAAGCGTGAGCCACCCACTCTCCTAAGTCCAAATAGTCCAAAGAGATTCCTTCAAGAAACGAACAGGAAGGATTTGGGAGAGTGGTTAGGCTGCTCTCCCTCACACCCCCTTTTAAAAGAAATCCATTTGGTGCCAGATCACCCTCGTTGCCTGGGCAGACGGAACGTGGCGACGTGCTCGGCTGGCCAGGTGTCCAGGCGGTGCTGAGCACCCCACTAAGCTGCCAGGATGCGTCCACCAAGGCTTGCAAGTTCAACACAGTAGCCGGTGCCCTTCTTGGAGCTCCGCGGGAGACTTAACCCATGCTGGCTTATTGGGAAACATCATCCATAAGACTTGGGAATGGGACCAGTATTTTCTTCTCTCATGTAAATATTCCACATCCACGCTCAGCTGCATGATATTCAACAGAGATGGTCTTGTTTCAGACATACTAATCTAGGAAAATCTTACTGCAATGGAGCTGCATTTTAAAAATATTATTTTTTATTGCTGCTGTCACCGCTGCTTCTGCTGCTGCTGCTACTCATCATTAACACTCATATCACTTTTCAAAAAGAGCAACAAAATGCAGAGAGGCGTCTGCTCTACCAACCGTCCCCTCTAAGATCCCCTTCCCCTCTAGGAAGACAAAGGTGGGGAACAGGCCAAGGCAGCAAGCAGCTGCTATCTTTGGTCAGGGCCAAATGCTTCCCAGCAAAGGTGAGGTTTGAAAGAGGGGTTCAAGGAAGAGGATGTGGTGGTAACTCGTAGGATGTGTCCCTCTCCGCTGCTCGCTTCAGTTCCAGGTAAAAGACCTCGGTTTTGCTTGAAGCAAAAGGTGAGTCTTCCTCTCCAGCAGCTCACGCCTCACCCCCTGTTGCTGCAGGTGGGCTTCCAGCATGCGGAAGGGCCCGGCCCCCAGCCAGGCACCCGCTTTCATGCGGCCTCATGCAGATGCAGGGAGGCGGAAGGGGCCGGAATGCCTGCCAGGCGTCCCCTGTGGCTCCTCACACCAGCCCACGGAGCATGCCTAGGTTCTCCACGGACCACAAGCCACAGGGATGCTTTCCAGCCCTCAGCCCTCCCCTGTATTGTCCATTAATGTATGGACAACGCAGGGGAAGTACTTGGGCACCAGCTACTGGATCCAGGCGATTAAGAGAGCGATGCTTGGCCAGCACCACCTCGGGAGGCAGGCAGCAGGATGAGGGGGCACTGCCGTCAAAAGCCCCAGGATGTCCCCAGTCTCACCAGTTGCTGTGACAAGGTTGCCCAGGAGCCTCGTGCAGCTCCCAAATATGCCTGAACCGGGATTAAAGTACCAGTATGCGATAGGACGGGTGGGTCTGAGGAGGGAGACGCCCAAAGTCCACCTCAGTCCCAAACCACCACACTTCTGTGCAACCCCCGTTAAAATGCAGAACTGAAGGACCCTCCCCTGGACGTCAGAGCCTCCAAGCTTCACAGGTGAAGCCCGATCCCGACCAGAATTCCACTTCCCTGTAACATCACTGGTGCTGTGCTTGCCGTGCATTGCAAACAGCGTCCTTCGCCAGGCCTCTAACTTGTTGTGAGTACGCCTAGAACTGAAATGGGTCAGCAACAGCTCCCCATATAAGCGTCATGTTTTTAAAGAGGTCCTGGCACACACATTTTATTTGCAAACTTCATATGCCGCAGTATGTAGACTTTGCGACTTGTTTCTTACCAACTTTTGGCGGACGCTCTCCTTAATAGACTCTCACTCTGTTCTTTATCAACAGGAGACACAGGATGTAAGGGGCAAGCATTACCACAGGATGCCTTGCTGTAGAAGCCAGAAAGCAGCTTTCCCACTTTTAGGGAAGCATGATAAAGATGAGCATCTTTATCGCACAGCGCAAAGCAATGCTTCATGCACTTCTCGAGTCTCTCCTTTGCCCAGAAAGCCTTTGTCAGTATTATGTGATTGAGCAGGAATGTCTGGTATAGCTGGATTTATGACTTCCCACTCGGGCTAGTGGCAGAAAGTCCAATGAAGCAGGCTTTCTGTTCTGTTCTGCTGTGCAAGAGCCTGGCTCTCACTCCTTGCACCAGGAATTTCCCTGCAGGCTGTGCTGAATTGGGGGTGGGACTTGAATAGGGTTTTTCAGGTAGCAGGGCTAAGCTGCAAGATGAAGCATCGATTGTATGCAGTCGCGAATTGTATATTCCACAGATGTGAGGACACATACTGCTCAGGAGGGAGGGAGGCAGGGAGGGAGGCAGGGAGGCAGGGACGGAGGGAGGGAGGACGCTGACACAGATGGGCCCAAAGAACCGGGGTCCCACTAGGATGGTGAGTGATGAGCACAACCAGAATTTCTGTGCATCCTTATTCAGAACAGTAGAATCGGTTCATTGATCTTTTGGGTCGCTTTTGTCAGAGGAAAGTGGATTTTATTATGGGAACTGTTGTGTGTGAGCTGTCAGCTTACAGGTTTCAGATGTGGGAACTTCTGTACTCTGGAACAGATGTTTTGTAGTACCAATGGCTGCAAAAGTTGCTGCAATTAACTCTGTGTGCTTTGGTTCCCACATGTCCAAAACAGCAGACAACTGTGGTAAAAATTACTCCTGAGGTCAAACCGCAAGCCGTCTGCCATACTTGGCACACGAAGGGATGGGGTGGGAGTGAATTACAACAAAGGAAGAGATTATTCAACTTTCTTGCAGAAACCGTGGTTCCAATTCAGATCAGAACTTCTGCCTACTTTTAAATAAATAAATTCATTTGGAGGTGCACACTAAATATTTAATATAATGAATGGTTTGACTTTGCCAAAGCTGTCTGCTCAGATGTTTTTGACTAAAACTCCCATCAGCCCCGGCCAGCATGGCCAAGAGGCCAGCACAATGACCTCCTGGGGGTGCCAATTGGGCTGCTCCATTGGGCATTCAGGTCCGGGGTAACACAGGCAGCTGGGTACAGGCAGCTGGACGTGGGGACACAAATGGCCAACGTGCCCCCATGTGTTAAATATTTTGCACATCTGTTTCTGAATCCAGCACAGACAGAACTTGCAGCCCAAAGTTCCCCAGAGCAAAAGCATTCTCATCCACTTGCCTCATCCCTGTCGCTTGTTAAAGGCGAAATGTGCTCAGCCAGCCGGCCCTCGTCGGCACCCAGGCTTCCCGGGGAAGCTGATTCCATGCAGCTGCAGCCAGCTAGAGCAGGGCAGGTTTCCGCTGGACTAGCACCCACGTGCCACGCCTGGAGCGCAGCAAAGTGCTTGCTCCAGCGTGATCCTGGAGTTTGTAAATGATGGAGATGGGCTACGAGGCCTTGCACACTTCCCCCACGGTGCTCCTGGGTGCCTGCTTCTCCGTCCTTTGAATCAGCCGGGGCCGCCCCTGGAATTCACTGGAACAGAGCAGGGCTTCTGCCATTTAACGTGGCTCAGCCTGGCGGGTGCTCCATGCAAGCAGCCCAACAAGCAGCAGGGCTTTCTGCCTTTGGCCGTGCAAGCCCAGAACTAGGTTCTGAGAAACCACGGGCAGAAAGAACAGCCTGTGCGGTGTGTTCACGGAGCCATGATTGCATGGGGCGAGAACCCAAGTGGGGCTGGGTGCCGCAGGGCCCCCCATGCCACTCCCCTTCTCGCATGAGCAACACAGCCGGACAGGGCACCCCCTCCTGCTCTGGGGGTCCCCCTTCCAGCAGGAGGGGAAGGTGCCCGACGGGCTCCATCGCTCCTCTGCTACACGGTGCGCCCATTTGCCATCACCTTTACTAAGCTGAGTAAGAGCAAAATTCAGGTAGAAGATGGGGTCTGACTTGCAGCAGAAAATAAGAAATAGCACACCAGATACTTGCTGTTTTGAGAAAAGAGAGTAAGTTTTCTGTAAATTTGCTCTGGCTGGAGGTTAGAGAAATCACAAGATATGGGGCAAGAATGACAAAAGCTTTATTTTTGCCAAATTTGCATCTGTCCTGGCATCAAGATTTGTTTCTGGTCTAAAGGATATACGATGAATACCTGGTAAGATGTTCTTGTTGTAATTCTACAGACATTCACTCTCGGCCAACTGAGCTCGATGCAGCTGACTTCTGAGTACTGATGTGAAGAATTGGGTTGATAATGGGAATTGGTAACAAGTACATTTGGAACCGGGCTCATTATTGGCTGCATTAATTTGTGTTTTTGCTTCCACTGATGCTGTGCTTCACAGAATAGTTCAGGATTCAGGAACTATCCCAATATCTGCAGGTACAGGTTGAATGCAGGTATTTCAAGCAGACAGGTGCAAAATCCATCTCCTCTGCAGACTGCCTGATGTTTATGGTAGGACTAGAAGCCTGTAACTGAGAGGAACTAAATATTTTCTACTGGATCCAGACTTAAGCACAGAGTGCTGAAATCCAGAGGACATAAGTTAGTCATGATTAAGTCCCACTGATTTCAATGTTTGAATATGGCTGAATCTAACTAAATTTAGGCTGAATTCAAAAGATACACCCAAGGTGCTGTCCCCCATAATAATGAAAATCCAAAGGGTGTTCTTAGGTTGCACCCCAAGGGTGAGTGGGAGCTGTGGAGGAGGGCAGCTGAAAAAGAGGGGGTGCGGGAGCAAAAGGGAAAGCACCTCCTTTGGACACCTCCCCGGGGTCCAAACCGGGGTCAGCAGTAGTGGCCCAAAAACTGAAGCAGAGTTCAAGGCCAACCAAATGCCGCATCAGGGCTCTAACGTGCTCGCCAGCCAATGCCGTGCAGCCCCGTGCGGAGTACGCAGGGGATCCCCGAAATGAGGGGTGCTCCAAGCATCCCTCTGCCCTGGTGCTCGCAGGCTTCCCCTCGTGCTCAGCCCTGTCACAGAAAGCAAGCCAGGAGAAAGTCCCGAAATGCTCCCAGGACACAGGCTGCAGCCCTGGCAGCCTCCTCCTCCTGACGTGGAAGGGGGTCCTGCTGGCACAGCAGCCATGCAAGTTTGTTTCCTGGCGAGCCTTGGAAAGTTGGGCATGCTCCTCAGGAACCCAGGCAGGGCCCCAACGAAGCGGGCTAGATCCTGGGGAGCTGAGCCCAGGGGCTCTGGCAGAGTCACACCCACAGCCAGATTCCTTGCGCATCAGCCGGGTCAGGTGCACATCGCAACCCTCGAAGGTTTGCAAGCTGTTGCATTAGGACACCGGCCCAGGTCCGAGGCTGGGTGGCTCTCTCCTTCGGGGCCGTCCTTGTGGCCAAACCATCTTGCGCAGCCCGCAGTGTCTCAGACACAGAATGGGCACAGGTGCATCATGCCGAACCTTTCCTTGTCATCCTACCTTCCGCCCATCTGTGTGATCCATAGCAGTGCTGAGAATATTGGGAAATGTGTCCGCAGAAGGCTCTGTGCCGGGCAGAGTAGCTGCGATCCAGCTGGGTCACAGGAGCTTGAGGATACGGATGGTTTTCAGGGTGGCCAGAGGGCGGTGCACACTGACTGCTTGCGTGTGCTACTGCACACCCGTGCCCACGGACCTTCCCAGAATAATGTGAAAAAGACTGAATGGAAGACCATTTTATAACTACTTCATGCTGTGCATTCATTTTTTATTTTTGTTACTTTGACAAAGCATGTAAGCACTTACGATTTTCCTAATAAAATCTATATTCGGATGCCAGTTCTTCTCTTGGAAAGTGCAAGCAAACACTCAGCTGACGTGTGCTTTCTCTTTCCTTGCTGATGGTCCGTGTGTGGTCCATTTCCAAGCCTGTATGGTTGAAAGTGTTCTTTGGGATGCGATCTATTAGTGAAATTCAGAGAGGAATTCCTTGCCCCTGGCGGAGACAGTGGGGAGTGGGAGGAGACACTGTGCTGCGTGGAGAACCCCCGGGCCTTCTTGGGCCAGGAGCCTGAAGCCCCTTCCCCTTTTTCCCCCACGGAGGGACATCATGATTACAATGAGAGAATCTGTGCGGTGGGCTGGGCATGTGCTGGCCAGTCACCAGGGTGCAAGACAAGCAGCATGGCCGCTTCTCCTAAGTCCTCATGAGCACGCCCCGCCCCCAACATGGGAAACACCTCCTCAGGGACTTTTTTGAGCACTGGCATGCCTGATTCCAGTGTGCAACTTACCTGAGAAAGTCCACCTGGTCAAGAGGTGGAGCGCTGTGGAGGGGACAGCAGGGCAGGAAGATGCAGCAGCTGAACTGCCCTAGAAGTACGGCCAAGAGGCAGAACACACATTTGTAAAATAAAACGAATAAAATGAACGACTGCGGTGGGGCAACGGGGGGGGGGCACTGTGCCCCAGGAAGGATGCTCTGCTACTGCCTTCCGCCCCCGCCCCCTTACTGTGGGGAGGGTTTTGCAGGCTGAATCCACGTCAGGACCATGGATAGCTCATCAGGGCGACAGCCACACTTCTGCACAGGTCAGGATCAGGCCAAGCCTGGACTGGAAAAGGCAGCCTCACTATTTCCAAAAACATACTCAGTTTTTGTTTTGTTTTTTGCTTTTTTAAAGCAAAGATCAATATCCAGGCCTCTGTCCTACCCATTGAAATGAACTGGATGTCACACGAACCTGAGCACCATTGATTTCACTTGATCTTCTGGAGGCTAGAAAAAAAAACTGGAAAAAACACTTATCTTTCCCAAGGACCAGTTGTTCTTTTTTTGCTTTAATGAAAGGCTAGAAAGAACTGAATGCTTTTGGATTATTAAATGTTTCCTTTTAGGGCTAAAAGCAATATATTGTTTTCCAACCACCCAAATGATTTCTAAGTGTTATGTGTGTAAGAAAGGGGTATACAAAGATTTGGGTTCTCCGTTTTCTAAAAATAACAACACCATGAGTGAGTTCCCAAGATCAAAATTTCTTCCACTCCATGTTAAAATCATTGCTGCATCTTTTACTCATTTATTTACATGTAGGGATGCATTTTTGGCATTTGGGGTGCCCCAAGCCATGCCCATTTTCCCAGCATGCATGTTGCATCACCGTGTCATAGCCAGGATGATGGGGCCCTCTGGAGCACAAGGGTTTCATGCTGCAGCGTCCGGCTTTTCGGGGCTGCTTCCAGGCCATAGAAAGCAATCCTGTAAATTCCGCATGTGGCAAATACTTCCAGGGGGGTCCAACCACCATTTTGTTGCCTGCCGCTGCACAGCCGGAGACCGGTGGGGGTGGATTTTGGCCTGCGGGGGAGCAGGTCGAGGGCCCGACAGATGTTGCTCACTCCCCTTGGGGCCACAGGTGGTGGTTTGCCTTGACGCCACTTTCCTGCTCATCCGAGCGTTTGAGAAATTTTTATTTTATTTATTTTTATTTATTAAAACATTTTTATGCCGCCCCATTCGCTGAAGCCTCTTGGCAGGTCACTGCTGGCCCTGCACGCCTCTTGACTTTGTGGCCCCAGTGTTAGGCCTGAAAGAGCCTGAGCGCATCGGAGGGCGGCATCCAGCCTCCCCTTCTTTCCACACAGCTGATGAGTTCGGCTCGGGTTCCCTTACCTAAAAAAAGGATGTTGTCAAGTTGGAAAGGGGGCAGAAAAGAGCAACAAAAACAATTACAGGGCTGGAGCAGCTCCCCTGTGAGGAACAGGTGCAGCAACGGGGAATGTTCGGCTTAAAAAAAAAGTGAGGAAGGAGAGCCATGGTGGAGGCGGTTAAGTTCCTGAGGAGACTTCACTGACCTGGAGGACGGGCCGGGGTGGCCCCTTGCATGGGCATGAATGAATAGGCCCTTCTCCTTGTGCACAAACTGAGGATTGCACAGTGCTGGACCGCCTTGCATTTCCCCGTGCCTTTTGTACTAGAAACTAGGGTCGCTGACCTGAAATCCTCCATTATCCCACACCCTGAAATGGGCGCGTTCCCCAGCCCTCCTACGTTGTCGCACAACTCGGGAAAGGAGGACTTGCGCAACACCAGGTTCCTCCTGCGCTGCAGCAAGGGTGCTGTGCTTCACCCACCTGCCGGTGGTCTCCCAGAAGACCCCAGCCAATAGCTGAGCGAATCCCCACCACAGTGCGCCCCACGAATGATTGCCCCAGACCAAATTCACTGGAGACCTCGCACGTGTTTGCAGACAGCAAGCAACGCCTGACTCCTCCATATTGTTTTTGGTATTTGTGAGCCCGTGTCTCCCCCACCCCCCCCATGGATGGAAATGGCTCGTGAATTGCAATAACAGCAGCCTTCCATGGGGGACAAAATGGACCCAGCTCCATATGCCTCACACACGTCCACGGGGGGAGCTGCAGCCGCCTGTGGGGAGTAACTGCCACGGTCACTCGCCCATGTGTCTCTGGGGCACCGCCTCGATTAGGAGCAGCCGCCCAGGTTAGTGGCCAATTTAGCCAACCTTCCTCTGCGTTTGGCTGTAGCAGAGCAATCCACGGTGCTCCTTTGTCCCTGGAGAGGAAAGTGATCATTTCTGCATTCTTACAGTAGCTCCAGCTACCAAAACTCTATTCAGGGAGTAGATACGAACTCGGCCATCAAGTGTCCCTCTAAACACGACACCAACAGCTCTCAGTGACACGCACTGAGCCCGACACTAGTCCCCGCGCACCCTCGAAGGGGGCAGTGCACGAGAGCCGAGCGTCTCCCAAGGTGGGCAGGACATGCCACATCAGTGGGTGGAGGTCGTCCCGAGATACTCCTTGGCTTCAAAGGTGGAATGAAGGGCAGTGATAGTAGCCACAGAGAAACAAGCTTAGCGCTGGCACTCCAGGTGGGCCTTCTAAAATGGAGGCAGTTTCTCTAGGGCAAGACGCCCTGGCCTGAGGCCATTCTCTTGGAACTCAGGATCACCCTAATTTGGCCCCACCTAAAGGTGGGTGAAGCATTGCTAATGCTATATCAGTCCTCGGATTTTGCTCTTTCTTCCCATTCTCTCTCCCCCAAATCCCTTCCATGAATGGCCAGTCTTGTTGACCAGGATGGAATGCACTGGGGGGGGAGGGCGCAGATATTTTGTTTCCCCCTCCCTTTTCAGGGACCTGAAAAACCACACAATAAACACTGCCAAGGCTACTTTCCTTTGCCTTGTTTTGCCTGGAAAACGACAGTTCTCAGCGATACAAGTTTTGCATAAGACTCTTGGGCTGCTGTCTTGGAGGTTTATTTGACGAACGATGCCATCGCGTGCCTGCTGCCAAGCACTGAATTCACGGCCCCGCCTATCAGTGCCGGCGGCAGAGGGAAGCCGTCATTCCTGCTGCTGCCTCTGCTGCCGGGCTCCACGGACGGGGGCAAGGATGAGGGCTGATTCGGACACCGTTTCCTCCGGTAGGCTCTCTGACTCGTCTGAATTCTCCTGGACAGAGAGGATTATGTTCACCTCCTTCTTCTCAGAGTGCTTGTGCTTCCTCGGGGCAGCTTCCTCGTCCTTGTAGCCCTTCCAGATGCTGCTCAGATACCCTCGTTGCCTTCTGCACTCTCCCGCAAGGAAACCGGATTTCTGCCCAGGACCATCTGCACCCAGGACAGTTTCAGCTCTCCCACGGGGGCCCCTGTGCCGGTCTTCTTGTCCGCTTGCAGCAGGTTCCTTCTGCTGCTTACTGAGCAGGAAATAGGCCAAGCCAGTGAGCACAAGCATTGTACCTAGAAGGGGAAGAAAGAAGAGAGAGACACCTGTTATCCATGCAAACAACACGGTCCAGAATACAGCCGTGTGATACACTTGCATTTGTTGGCTTTTCCAGAAGAGCACCTTCTTCTGATTGCCTCCTATACTGCTCATCCTTGTATTCCCCACATTTATCAGAGTTTCTTGAAACAGAAAGACAAGGATTCTTTGTTTTCTTCATGTGCTAACAGAGGGGTTGGAGACTATAAGCAAAGCACAGCCACCCATAGAAATCTTAATGAATGCACTCAGACGGCGGCAAATGAAGGCGGTAACATCCATCTTTACGGCAGTGATATTTTATTTACATCAATTATTGTCATTTGCTTTGAATAGGGGAAAACAAGCTAAATGGTTGTAATATTCAGATCTTTTTCTTTCATTGACCTTGATCTAATGAGACATCCATAATGATCGTATTTAACAAAATGAATGCACATTAATGTTAATAGTTGGTTAAAGTGCGGAATACTATAAATTGGTCCTACATTCGAGGAGGCCGAGTCCCTGCCTTGCTCTCTCACAGCCAGCACGGCACGAACGGCAGTGGCTGCCCCCATCGCTGCAACGCCTCTGCTCACTAGGCAAGACATTAGAAATGTCTCTGTGTGTTTTTTAAATGAGCAATTTGCATCAGGACTACAGCAAAAGAGGAAAGGGTTCCATTCCCCTTCCACACCTGATAATTGTCAGGCCAAAATACTTCTATTTGCAGTGTTTTTAAAATTGCATGTCAAATGCAATGGTACTTTGAAACCCAAATATACTTTTACCCTTCAGTGTTAAAACACCTTTGCTTTGGTCACCTGTTTGTGCACTGCACACAATCTGACACTGGCAAAGGAATAACCAGGTGTGCCACTGGTCCTAACGTGTGGGTGAAGGTCCAGTTACCCTGGATCAACTGCGTGGCCACACAGCCACACCGACTGGGAGCACGGATTTGCCACCTGGGGGCATGCAACCTGCTGAGCAAAGCCAGCCCTGTGAGCCACGTGCCCTTGGAGAGAGAGGCCACAGGAGGGTTGCAAGCAAGTCCAGGGCCCAGGGCGGCAGCAGGATCCCGGGCCAGTTGCTCCACCCGCCACCCCTTCCACGGTTGGTCGCAGCCTGGGGGCATGAGGCGGTTTGATCATGGCGGGCATAGCCTTCCCCTGCAAGAGTCGATTCCCCTGCAAGCGACCAGGGGGAGGCCGAGGCAACGCTGCCGACGTGATGCTCGTGTGGCTCGACGCGTTCTCCTCTCAAGCATCTTTTGTACGATCAGGCCAAGGGGCCATGTCCCAGCCGCTGCTGATTGTTCTCCGCCCTCTGCCTCTTCAGAAACAACAACACCAAGGACAGAGGCTAATCTGCACGTAGGCAAGGCCCACCAGCCGCATCTGCAGCAGCAGGCGCAGAAGCTCTCCGGCTGCTCTTCCACAGGATCGAGAGGACCGCCCCCATCCCTGGGGCAGGGGGGCAACTCCCGTGTCCTCCGTCTGCTCCGACCCCCTGATGTATTAACCACAAAGCCCTCTTCTTTACTTGCTGCACTGGCCAGAGTGCCTTTCCGGTTATCAGCGAACCGAATGTCTCCGATGGCACCTGTGCCGACGGGCGTGTGCACACGCTGAAGTGCTTTGCTGGGCGTGCCTTGGTGGGGGAGAGAGACTAAGTGCTGGGAAAGGGTGAGAACAGTCTGGGCAGCACCTGCCTCTGCTCTGCACCTGCTCCTGGGCAGGTGCAAGAGAGGCACAATGTGGCAACTGGCACCAGGCAGGGAGAACGCTCCACAAACAGTTTCCTTAGATGAAAACTGGGTAGAATATATCAAGAGCTCTCTTCCTATGCATGAGCGTGAGTGGGCTTTGGGAAAGGCAGGGCCACATATTGGCTCTAACTTAGTGTTGCAGTACAACTCCACAGAATCCACCCCTTCCATCTGTAGGCCTCTTTGAGTGCTCGGCTGTCCTAGAAAGTGGCCCAAGCTGGGGGGAAGCTCATAGAAGTCTGCAGCACGAAGGCAGTGCAGCCAGCGACCTCCTTCTCTGCCGCGAGCCACACTAACAAGGGCTGCAAAGCATGTGTGTGGGTGAGGGATGCCGCCACACGGCAGTCATCTGCACCCGGGGAACCAGCACCGCTGCAGAGCCAAGAGGGCGTCTGGAGCGTCCAGGAGACGAAGGGCGATGGAATGGCCGGGAACCTCCCACAGGGAAGCTGCACCCCCGGCTGGAGGGGCTCTGGCCGGTGAGGGGCAACAGCACATGCCCGGACATCGTTCAGTCCTCAGGGGGCAGGAGAGGCATCACACCCCCCCCCCAAATGTGTTCCCCAGCTGTGCTGCTTCCCGCACGGTCTGGATCCTGGATTGCCCAGCATACGACTTCCGTGCCTCTTGGCCCACCAGTGAATGTCCAGGCTGCCCCCCCTAAGCTCAAGCTCTCATATGTGCAGCTGCTCCTGTCTGCCCTGCCACCCCAGCACCACCCACAGCTGTGCGACTCCCTGTGCCTCTTTCCCCCTTACCTGGAATAGTGACGTGCCACACAAGCACCGGGTGTATGAAGCAGGCCACCGAAAGCAGAATGTACGCCAAGAACTTCTGGAAGGCCCCGCGATGTCTTGCCTGCCTCCGGCAAGTGTGCATCACGGATCCGCTGCCAGGGCTGCAGGAAAAGCGGCAAGCTGAGGCTGGAGGTAGCCGGGGGAACGGCTTTGTCTCAGCCAGCCCCAAAGTGGATTGTCAGAAAGAATTCCGTGTTATTTATACTCAGCCCAGGCAGCAGGGAGTGGAACTCACACGAAGCAGGAATCCAAGGCCAGGCTGGCAAAGTACGCTGCTTCACACAGAAAAACAGCCATCCCTGAAACCCTGAAGAACAAGGAGGCGTTCAGAGAGAAGGAGCAGGTAGCGAAGAGCGCCGATGTGCTGAGCCCGTGCCCGCAGCCCCAGCCGAGCCCTAACCTGCCACTGCAACCACCTCCACCGCTCGATCACTGATTCAGTGCAAAGAGGGCGCTCAGCTCTGCAGAGGCAGAACAGAGCCACGATGTGACAAAAGCCGCTGCCTGGAGGTTTGGCCACATCTACCAGTGTGGCCAGGGAGAGTTGCACAGGGAGGAGAAAGACAATGACAGTCAAATTAAGAACAGGTCGGGCGAGACAAGGCCGACAACATAGGCGAGAATGGGATGGCCTTGCTGAAGATGTGGGGAGCGGGAGGGAGGGACGGATGGACAAACAGATGGATGGACGGACAAAGGTATCCATCCAGGACAGGTCAGAGGGCAAAGAGCCATGAGGTGGGGCAGGGCACCCTAAGGCTGCATCAAGAATGGCGGGAGGGACGGGCGCCTGGAGTCCAGATCTCTCGCACGGAGAACGCGTTGGTGCCTTGCCGCTCTCCGCAGGAGGAGTTCGTGGAGACCCATATGCACTAGTTCCCAAAAGCAAAATACAGCGTGCTTTTAAGCTCTGTGTGATGAAGAGAGAAGGAGAAAATTTGACTTCCACATTGAATCTAGAAGCCACCCCTGAAGCCATCCCAAGCCAGTGCCCAGCGCACTAACCCTGATATTACCATAAGGTTATCTTCAAAAATGGTGCGATGCCCACCATGTATGACTGCTGGCATATCTCAAGTGCACCAGAATCTGCGGGGCCATCATACGGCGCTTGCGTGTTTGAATTAACCCAAGCCTTAACCGCTCTCTCACAGTCGAGCAGCCCCCGCAATGAGCGCCAGGAGCAGAGCGCCTGCTGAAGGCTCGCAGCCGGCAGGGGCTGCTGCCCGGACCCCGAGGAGCCCCTCGCCCTCGTCGCTGGCCTGCTTCTCGCCCAGGCGCAGGCGAGGGCGGCAAGTTCCACGGGGCATTTGCCCCGAACGCTTCTCAGACGCCACCCATGTGGCCCTCCGGTCATGGACGGCGATACTCACAGCAAGTAGATGGCCAGGCCTTGGAACTGCCCTCGGCGCAGCGTGCTCGTGCCCACGCCGGTCAGCACTGCGAGAAGAAACGCGCCGGGAGTGCCGAGGGGGCCTGCCACGCAGTAGCGCCCTCTTTGCAGCGGCCCTGCCGCGCCGCCTCGATTGTGCGATGCCTGTCAAAGGGCACTGAGCCGGCGAGGGAGGCCGGAGGGGCCACCTGGGGCTCGGCAGCTGGGGAGCTTTGAGCTGCTTGACGGAGTTCAGCCTTGCCCCTGGTTGCCTCTTTTTCAGAAGAGATAATAATATGCATCGCTATTTGCATTCGGATATTGCCTAATAATTATTGATGCGTCACTTGTTTAGATTATCTGCCCGTTTACTGGAAGTCAATGCATGGTCAACATAAACTGCTTTTCCAAGCCCCTTTGGCAGCTGAAAGGCTGGGCTAATATCTCGGCTGGGAAGGAGAATTGTTCATCATGTATCACAGAACAGATTGAGACTGTAACCGTGTTTCAATGTTTGAATGGCTACTATAGGCATGACTCTTGAATGGAGACATTTTCAGAGGGAGGCAGGGAGGGAGGGTGATGCATGGATAGTGGATCTCCCTCTGTTTCTTTGCATTGTTTTATGACTTGTAATAACAGTTATAATAAATATAAATAAATACACACAGCCCATCTGACTTGGCCTTTGCACAAGGGGAACTGGCAGGATGGAAGCGGGAGCAGATGCGAGAACCAGTCCTGAGCCCAGTCAGGAGGCGAGGGAGAAACGGCCGCTTCCATCGGAGGGTCCCTGGCACACCCCCTCCCCGACTTGTCCTCAAGCGGCAAGAGCCCCGAGGGGAAGGCTCCAGGGGCGTGGGGGACACCAGAAGTGCCCCATGGAAATACCAAGACTGCACAGAGAAGAGAGGCAGGAATTAGGCTCTGTAATCAGCTTTTCCCTGGACCCAGTTCAGATGCCGAAGGCATTAGCCCTTCCCAACTGTTTGAACGGTGCTGCTGCCCCGCACATTCCATCCCGCTCCTTGTTCCTTTCAAGGTTTAATCCCTAAAGAAAGCCTGTTTTCAGTTAGTGGTGCGACTGCGCTGCAGTTGGCTGCACGGCATTTCGACCTGGCGAAATATCAGCTCTAAGCATGGCAGGGGTGGCTGAGCAGGCCTGTGAGCAGCACTGCTACTAAGGAGCTTCAGGGCGGACGTGCCTCCTTCGGCGCCATGAGATGCAGCTTGTAAAAATAGAAGCTGTTTTGCAACTGGCCTGCCAGCTAATGACGGAAACTACCCCCTTGTCAAAGGACGTTTTTGAGCCATTATGGATGGAGGAACACATCTACACTCTCACTCACGTCCTTCCCTGTGTATGTGATGCTTTGCTTGGGCTCCAGCAGAAGCTGCAAGGGAACTAGTCTGCTGTCAATTTCATCCTTTCCTTCTTCAACTTTGTTAGGAAGAATCTGTACATAGTGGCATGAAGGTGTCCAGAAGTCTCAGGTTATGGTCAGATCAAATTCTGAGTTTCAGATCATTTTTTTTTAAATTTGAGTACATCCTGCTTTTGCTCTTGCGAACACAAAGTGGCTTACCTCCTCCTCCTCCTCCTCCTCCTCCTCCTCCTCCTCCTCCTCCTCCTGCTCTCCATCTTATCCCCACAACAGTTGCCATAAAGATAAGAAACTTCAGTGGTGAGTGCCACCACAGACCCTCCGTCCATGTGCTGCCCGGTCGGCCTGCAGTGCTGGTGTGGGTCTAAAAGGGGCTGATCGGCAGCTGAGCTAATGCGACCAAGCAGAAACACGCACTCAAACGAGCACGTTTAGAACGGCAGGGTTGCCGTGCTCCCTGCCACAGTGAAATGCAACTAAATTATAGTTTCTTTTCTGTGTCCACACATAAATTAAAATGCATACATGTCATGCAGTTTTGTCTTTAGTGGCCCATTCCCCATGTCTCTCCTGTACTTAGCAACACCCATGGTTGCAATGTTAGGGAAATAAGGAACAAATATATTTTGCAGGAAACTCTAGCATTTTTCATTCTTGAACCTACTTTATACTGTTCAGAAATTAACAGTTGGTGATGCAGCACTGCCAAACCTGATCCTCACAGAATCACAGAATCCTAGAAGAGTAGAGTTGGAAGGGGCCATGAAGGCCATCAGGTCCAGCCCCCTGCTGTTGCAGGACACCACGTCACACCACCCCGCTCAGGTGGCTGCCCAGTTTCTTTTTGAATGTCATCTAGAGCATCCAAATACCTAGACAGTCCTAGGTGTTCGGCCTTTAAAAGATGAAGAATATTGATCTAATTCTGATCCTTCAAATCCAATCAGAATTTGAAAATCTGTTACGGGAAAAGATGGGATGGCTGTACGATGCCTAAGAATCGTTAGCCGCTGGAGCAGTGTACCAGAATCATGCTAGGAGGGGGAAATGGAAGGCAGAAAATGAAGAAAACTTGCGTCTGTTCTCACCTGCTCCGGTGGAGAGCCCCAGCAGTCGGCAAGCATATTCCAGAACATTCCACAAAGGTGTTTGCTTCATGCTGGCTTTAGTCTTTCAGAAGTGCCTTAGATAAGCCTCCTGTGCCAATCTCGAGATGGGGATAAGTCTCATGTTGAAGCATCCATGTCCTTCCCAAAGGAAGGACTGCTATTCCCGTCTCATGAAAAAAGGCTTCCCAAGCAACACACCCTCTTGCCACTCTGAACTAGTTAGGGTTTGGCTACCATTGATGATTAATTATTACCAAGCAGAACAGGCGTCTCAATCGCTGCCGGAGGGCCTCTTTCTCCTTGGTGCACTGGGGGACACACCAAACCTGTCACAGGCGTTCAGCCCTCCTGCGACTACAGAGCCCTCCCCGGTGCAGATTAATTGCTAGGGATGGGATTTAGAAGCTTAGGACAGAGTGCAGGGCTACCCATACTCTGCCCGGCTGGTTCCAGGAAGCTGACAAAGTATGCAAAGCGCTCTCAGCTCCGGAGCCTCCTGCATGCAGCTTGTAGCCACGTCCAAAGCAAGCCTCCGGTTTCCCTTCAGAATGGCTGAACATCCGCAATACACAACACCGTATTAAGTGTATTGCACAACACAGCACTGATAAGCCATGGCAATTTAATAAGCTTAATAATAAGCAAAATAATTTAATAATAACCTAATAGTAAATAAAAGCTTAAAATCAAGTAAAAATCCTTCTGAACTCACAGAAGCTTGAATTAAGCTGCAGGTTTGGTTTTCAAAATATCTCTATGGTTTATGCTTCACATGATGTGTAACAAAATCAGCATTAAGACTCTGCAATCCTATTCCTACTTACTTGGGAGTAAGTCCCATTAAAGTCAGTGGGACTTCTTTTTGGCAAGACCATGCACAGAATTACACTGTAGGATTGTAATCCATTTAGGAGTAAATCTTTGTAACATTTCAATGGATCATCTTTCTGGAGAAACCTGCAGAGTGTTCCAGATGTTTGCAGAAATCCAGTTGTTTCTTTCTGAGGTATCATTGCACCATCATAATGGAAATACAGGATGTTCACTTCATGATTTTAAGCTATGATTTTTTTATCATTATGAAAATTGTAAGAACAGTGATTGGAATGGGGATGCGGTTCAACATAACGGCGTCGTGCTTGCTGAAACTGAGCTTTGAATGAGAACCTGGCCTGCCAGCCCCCGAAAATGGCCCATTGGCACGTTTCATAGATGCCTACAAAGCTTTCTGTCACAGCTAAAGCAGAAAGGTCTTGCCCACAGGGGTTAGATCTCCCACCCAGGCGAAGTGCGTCGTCACTCCTCGCTCCCATCAACCTAAGCAAGCCCTTCACATTGAAACGGGTCTACTTTGCGTAAAGCTCTCACACTGACAGCACTAAACAGTGCTCAGTAGAATTCCCTTTGAAATAGACTGCATGGGATTGCTGTTCCTAATGACTAAAAGTTCAGAAACTGAGATTCAGATGCCCATAATCGCTGGGAGAGATTCAGTGACAGCCTGTGAAGACAACTGTGGGCTTTAATTCTCTGAACGGAGCGTTTAGTCCAGTGGTGTGTGCGCCACTGAAGACATCCAGCAGCAACTCCTGCTGAAAGCCACAGTTCATGGGCAAAGGCCATCAACATGCTACTGGGAGTGAACCCTTTGCAGTGAACGGGATTGCAGCTTGTCCTGCTCATAGGAATGGGCCTGCTTTGTGCAAAACTCTATCCCTGATCACACTGTAATGTTGGATGGGAAGGCAGTATCACATGCACTGCTCTCCCCAACATGAGTAAAATCCATCAGCATGCTGTGCAGAATAAATGGGAGCTCACGACGTGCTGTTCGGTTCAGCATGACTATGTTTGAATAAAACTTACAGCGTTAATGATTAACAGATTGAATGCAGTCAGGAATAGGCTGTCTTGGTGGCCGTCATCCCATGCTCGCTCTTGGCATCTGTGCGTCTGAGCACGGCAACTGTGCATCTGGAATCCAACTCCCCGAACTGAGAGAGAGGTGTCAAGCGATCCTTGTGGGCCAGTATCTGACCAGCTTCTCCAGAGGGTCCAGGGATTCTCTCCAGGGCCTGATTCAACTCCAGCCTCGGTTTGCTTGGCCTCCTCTTTCTCCCAACCGCTCACGGTGGAGAGAAAATGAAGGCCGGCTTATCCTACAGCACCACCTCCTGGCAGGACTCCGTTTCAAGAGGCTCCTCCTAGGCGGGCCTGAATCGCCCTTGCCTCTCTAGACTTCTTTCTGCCTGTCAGCACTGAACGCAGGTGGAATCACGGACTCATCCTCAGTGTCTGTGCAGCGCGCTCTGTGGCTGAGCACCGCACCGGCCCATCTTTTGGAATCGCGGCATGTTCATGACGCGAAGGGCTTGCTCCACACTCGAGTGTGTCCCCACAAAAATCCCTGCGAGTTCCCTCTCTAGATATCTAGTTTCCTGCTAGTTATCTATGTAGATAATCCGGTTTATTATCTGAATAACAGCTTTTATTTCATCACAGGTGATTTAGGGCAGCGTCATATCAGAGTAACCTCCCAAAGGAATGTAAAGGACGTTCTGGTCATGCGACAACAGCAGCTTCGCTTTCAGCTGGACTGTCCGGTAGTTGCATTTGGAATAAATTGCTGCTTTGCTCAGGCTTCTTTCTTTGTCCTGTCACAGACAACTTCTTGCAAAACCACCAGTGGTCAGATGGTGTAAAATGCATGAGAAATGTGCACAAGGAAATGCATAGATTAATTCCTTGTCTGACTTTTTGAAAAAATACAAATGATGATGAAATTAAGATTGGAAGAACAAAAGAAACTGAAAAATTCATCCAGGTCTCCCTAGCCTTGAAGTGACACGTGCACAAAATTCAGACGGGTTACTTCTTGGTGACCAGAGGAACGTCCTGTTCTTCAAAGCAAAACATCACAAAACGTATGCAGGCTTCTGTGATGTTGTGAAAACCAAGCTGTCGTGCAAGCCACGGTGTACACAAGAGGCGGCTTGGGAAAGGGCGGCGGAGAAGGCGCTTTCGGGGCTCGGGGCGGAAAGGGGGCACCTCCTGGGGACAGCGCGGGCGAACCCGAGCCGATCGCGCCGTCTGCCCCTTGCCCTTCGGCGGACCTTTCCGCCTCCTCCCGCCGAAGCTCGAGAACGCGCCTGCTCGGAGCGGGCCCTGCGGGAAGCGCCCCGCGGGCGGGCGGGCGGCCCGGGGGCCGCGCGGGGCGCGAGCGGGTGGCCGGAGACGAGCCGCGGGCGAAGCGGCGGCTCTGCCGGGCTGCTGCGGGGCCCTGGGGCGCCGGGGAGAGGCCGCCCTGGGCGCGGCGGGGCCGGAGCCGGGGCCCCGAGGAGCGAGGGACCGGTCTCGAGGGGCTGCGAGCCGGGGGTGCACGGGCTGGCGCGGAGCCGCTGCCCGGACGGTTCGGGGCTGCACGGCCCGAGCAAGAGCGCTTTGCCCGGGAGGAAGTGGCCGAGGCCGGCCGGCCAGCGCAGCGGGGGCCTGTTGCGCAGGGACGCCCCGCGGGCAACGCCGCGCACGCCCAGCGCAGGCTCGGGCGCTCGAACGGCGCGGCCGCGCTGACCCTCCCCGCGCAGGGCGCCCGCGGGGGTCCGCCTCTCCGTCCTTTCCGCGGCGGGAGCGGAGGCGCAGCGGCTCCTGCGCGGGGGGCACAGCTTGGTCGGCGGAGCCGCGCGGGGAGGCAGCATCCCCGCTCCCGGGCAGGCAGGGCGAGCCCGGCTGGGCAGCCCCCGCAGCCGCTGTTCCCGCCGCATCGCGCCCCGTCCTGCTCCAGGGGGGCGAGAGAAGCCAGGGCGAAGCCACCGCGGCGAGCCCGCCCGTCGCGGCTGCGGAGGCCCTTCGGGCCACCACCCCCCCGGAAGCTGAGGGGCCACGCGGGAGCCCGAGCGCCGGGCGGAGGCTGCCTTGCTCCCCGCAGAGAACGCCAGCGAGGCCCCTTCCTCGGCCGTCCGTTCTCCGCACAGCGGGAAGCGCCCCTGCCGTGCCAGAGGCACGAGGCGGCGAGGCTTAGCTCCCCAGCGGCCCGCAGCTGTTTTCATGGGGGCTGCTGCTTCCCTCACGACCTTACCGAGAGAAAATGCGCTTTCACAGATACTGGGGAAACATACAGGAAGGTATCTGAAATGCTTCAGTTCATCATGTAACTGGAGGCAAATGGACCATAGAAAAAATAACATAGAAACAGAGCGAGTCAGGAGGGGCCTCCCGGGCCATCTAGTCTGACCTCCAGCACCAGCCAGCTCCACTCACGACATGCCCACCATGTGCATGTCCAGCCTGTCCTTGAACACCCTCACCGATGGTGCCTCAACCACCTCCCGGGGAAGCCTATTCCACGCCCTCGGGGTCCTGTCAGGAAGTGCTTCCTGGCACCCAAACAGAACCTGAGTTCCCTGAGCTTTGCTCCGTTGGAGCGCATGCTGTCCTCCTCTGCAGGGGAGAACAGGTCTCTACCCACCTCCGTGTGACACCCCCCACATACATGCATGTCGCCAACAGGTCCCCTCTGAGTCTCCTCTTCTCCAGGCTGAAGAGACCCAGTCCCTCAGTCTCGACTCATACGGCATCCCCTGCAAACCGGCCACCAGCCTTGTGGCCCTTCGCTGCACTGACTCTAACCTGGCTAGATCCTTTCTGTAATGAGGGGCCCAGAACTGAGCACAATACTCCAGTTGCGGGCGCACCAGAGTTGTGTAGAGTGGCAGTAATCTCTCTCTTGATCTAGAAGCCACACTTCTGGCTATGCAACCAAGGGTGGCATTTGCCCTCTTGGCCACTGCATCACACTGCTGGTTCATGTTTAGCCTGCAGTCAACCAGCACCCCGAGGTCCCTTCCACAAGTGCTGCTCTCCAGCCACTTGTCCCCTAACCTGTACTTATGACACCTACTCCTATGCCCCAAGTGCAAGACCTTGCACTTATCCACACTGGACGCCATCCTGTTGTCTCCTGCCCACTTCCATAGTCTGTCCAGTTCCTTTTGGATCTGGAGTACCTGCTCCTCAGTTGTGGCCACTGCCCCAGTTTTAGTATCATCTGTGAATTTGATCAGCAGAGTGTTCACCCGTCATTGATGAAAAGATTAAACAGGATCGGCCCCAGGACAGGTTTTCTCTGAAAAATAAGGTGAGTATGAGTCTTTCTTTCCCCACAAGGTATTGCTGGCCTCACACTGTGTGCGTGTTTACTCAGAACTAAATCCCACTGGCCTCCATGAGGCTTCCCCCTTGTTAGAGACCAAGGAAAGCTGCCTGGGAGACGCTATCCTTGGCGTACCTATTCGCCCAGCCACGCCCGCGTGCTTTGTGTTTATTCAGCCACGCATCCAGATCCCGGATTGCTGCAAGGCAGCCGGCTTTTCCGTCCGTTCAGCCGCACTTGGCGAAGCTCCGCTTTCCCCTTCAGAACGTGCAAGCCGGCCGTAGACAGGACGCGTGTGCGGGGCCGCGGCGCGCAGGGAGAAGGGAGCGGCCGCTGCACTGCACGGCTCCCCCGCAAGGGCCGGGCCGGGCCGGGCCGGGCCGCGCCGCGCCGCGCGCGATGCGGGCCTCCCTTCCACGCAGCCCGGGGGCCCCTGGGGCGCTTCCGGGCATTCGCGGCCAGGAGAAGCGGGAGTCGTGCACGCGGCCCAGGGCGCTTCCCGGAGGGGCCGCGGGGCGCGAACGCAGGGCGGCCATGAGGACGGGGAAGCGCAGCGGCGGGGGGCCTGCCGGTAGCGCGCAGGGCCGCCCGGGCCGGGTGCGCGGCGGCTCCCGGCCTGGCCCCGAGCGAGCGAACCCTCCGCCCGCCCGGCGCGGAGCCAGGAGCGCCGCGTGCCCGCCGGCGTCGCGCTCGAGTGACGCCGTGAAGCCGCGCCCCACTCCTGGAGCGCGCGGCCTGCTGGGACAGCACCCGGGGCCCGGGCGGCGCGCGCGTATGACGCGACGCAGGCGCGCCTCGCTCGTGGGTACGGCGGAGAGCCGGGGCCGCGGGCGGTGGGGTCTCAGTCTCCCCTGCGCGGGTGCCAGGCTTCCTTCGTCGCCCGCGCCGTTCTCCCCGCTGATTCCGCTGCCTTTCCGCGGGGCCCGGCCGTCGGTAGTCACAGCCCACCAAGATGTAAAACCAGGGAAAGGGGTTGCAAGGGTTTAAAACCGCTAAAGCAGAGAGTCGCGAAGGTTGCTCCGCGAGACACGTGGGATGGGTGACCCCCCCCCCAGCCCCCTGGTCAGCCTTTCAAAGGGAAGCACTTGGGGGTGGAGAAGACGCCCCCCCCCCCGGGAGAGGATGGGTGGCTGCTGGAGGAACCTGCTGGTGTGGCACAGCCCTTTCAGTGCTAGTACAAATAAGGAACAGAATGTCTTTTAGCCGCCAATATGGAAACGCTATGCATATTTTAATTGCCCCCCCCTTTTTTATTTTAAAGGCGCAATGGCACCAAGAAGGGAGTGGCAGTGAGCGGTGTGGATCAGCAACCCACTAAGTTTATCTGCTTGTAGTGAACAGGTCACTGTGCGGGAGAAATCTTGAGGTCAAGCACACCTCTGCCCTCCTTCCCAGCAGAAAAGAGTCCACGGAAGGAGGGAAATGCGACTGACATCTGTCTTACGATCCCTGCGAGGGAGCTGGCGTGAGCACTTTGACTGTGGTGGCCGGGATGTGGCCCGTTGGTTCCCAGGACACATGGCCAAAGGTGAGGTGGGATGAAAGGAAGGGGAGAGGCTTGGAGCAGTCTGGGTTCAACCCCCACCCCCCCAAAAAACAAAGGAAGGCCAGGCTTGACCCTGAGAGAATGAATTAACAAGCTGCATTTCCAGCAAAAATTGAGCACTGCTGAGGGCTCAGGGAGCTCTGTGCCTGCAGAATAGGATTGTTCTTGGCAGTGACGATGGCTGCTTTGCACCAGAACCACGTTCACCCCAGGGGTATGAATGATAACTGTGCTGTAACTCTAGTGGGCATGCTTTCCCCCCATATTATAGCTGTCTGTGCCTGACTGTGTTTGCAGGGCTGAAGGACATGAAGAACCGCCTGCGATCGGTGGACTGCCTGTTGGAGGTGCATGATGCTCGCATATCCTTTCTTGAGGGTGGCATGGAAGTGGGCCAGCACGTTCCAAGGAGGCTCTGAGGCCACTTCCACGGCTGGGATCCCCCCAGGGCCTTTTCCCTTGCTGTGCATGTGCCCACTCACACTGGCACATCCACCGTTGCGCACACGCGCTTCCTTCCCCACCCCGTATCCCAGCCGTCTGAATTGTGCTTACTAGAAGAGAATGAATTTAAAAGCTCTCTCTCCTATCCGTGCTCGTGATCCACATGTCTGAGATTTCTAAAGTGGCTCCTTCGGAAGCCAGTGCAGAGCATATTATGAGTACTGCGAGCACACCACAGGGTCTGTCTTCCTCTGTAAAAAAATGGAGTCTGCTTTTTTCAGCACTGTATGGGGGACTGGTTGGCTCAGGAGTCTCCCTCGGTTTTGCTTGTCGTGTTTCCATCTTCAGTTGCAGCCTTCCTGGCTTCAGATGGCTTCAGGCTGCCTACATCTGTTCCCCCAAGCCCAGCCAATGAGTGCCAGGCAGATACTCTCATTCCTGACTTCTTTTGGGCTCCTTAGCATGGGCACATCCCACTGTCAGGCCGGACCCCCCAGCTGCAGGAAGCCCTGGGCATCCGCCCACATTTGTTAGTGCTGAACAAAATGGACCTGGCAGATCTAACACACAAGCAGGTAAGACCCAGGTAGTATCTTCCCCATTAGCCATGTTGAGAGCCTGTAGGTTAATCCAAAGACTGGGAGAAGTTTCAGGAGAGTCCAGGTGGGAATCCGCTGCCTTTCCACTTGCTTTCCATGTAATGGAAAGCAGTTTCTACTCCTCGGCCTGTCTGGAAGCCCTCTTGTTAGAAGCTCATCTGCCTCTTTATAAGTCTCTTGTTAGGTACCGTGTTCTTGTTCTGTTGTCTTAGACAAGTTACTGGGGTCGTTGTTAGTTAAATAGCCTCACATCGATCCTGCAAAGCAAGGGATGTGCGAATACACATTTTCAATTATAAATAATGGAAATTGCCCAGATTTTTCCATGGTTTTTGCTATGTTTTTAGAGAATCCTGGAGCATTTGGAACAGCAAGGTTGTAGACATGTCCTCTTCGCAGAATGCCTGAAAGACGAGAATGTCAAGAAGGTACCACGCTGCTAGTGGAAAATCCTCTTCCTGCAAAGGGACTGGGGCGAGAGGTGGCCTGCAGCGGTTGGCATTCGTAAGCGGGTGGGATAGTGGGATCTGGTCTGAGCAACTTTCCTTATGGAGAAGGCAAGGAGGGCGCAGGAGCCCTTCTCTGTGCCATTCACAGCCACGAGCAGCCAGTAATTGCCCAGCTGAAACGGCCCTTGTAACCCTTTGCAGGTTGTTCCTCTCATCACAGAGCTGATCAAGAGCAGTCCGCGCTATCAGAGGGCTGAGGTCAGTCGCCTTGTGCAGCCACACTTGCGGGAACGACGACATCGCTCGGCATCGCCTTTGCGGCAAAATGGCAACTCGCACGGGCGAGGCGGCTCCCTGCCCACCCCAGGGCAATTGCCCAGGGTCGCTTTGTTCGTATACGAGCCACACAAGTCCCCTTTCCTGCCCCTGGTCTGCCCGGTTGCTGCTATTTATTTGTGCAATGTGGCGATTCAGAACTTTCTGATTGGTTCCAGAATGTGGAGAGCTGCATCATGGTTATCGGTGTGCCAAATGTGGGGAAGTCCTCGCTCATCAATTCAATGCGAAGGCTGCACCTCAGAAAAGGTACAGTCCTGAACAGAGCAATTGATAGGCAAAACGGACTCACTGATTTGCCCAGGAAGGAAATGGCATTGACCCTTGCGGTTACACCTGTAGCTGGACAATGGTGCCATGCCTGTCCAGATGTGTTGATTGAAGGCGGCCTTTTTAGGATTCCGTTGTTAAACATGCAATCTAATACCCAGGGACTTTGCCACCTTGTGATCTGGCACTGTAGGTTCCGGAACCACAGTGTGTCTGCTGCTCTTGGCCCGGAGAATGAATTGCTGAACCATGCAGGCGTCTGTCTGTGTGGGAGGGTGGTCGTGCTGGACCTGAGCCAAGCCAGCCTTGCAGAGTAGCGTAGGAAAGGTGCCAGGCCTCTCTGATTTATAAAAGCCACCCTGTCCTGCTCACTGCGGGAGGCTATGCAAGTGGGGATTTACCAGGCGGAGTCAAGCCAGTCCTTCGGCCAACCCCTCCAATCTGCCACGGGCTTCTGTGCATCTGATTTTAAGCAAAGAGATCCTGGAGTGGCTATGGAAGTGAATTAATAGGCTTGGGCCATCAGCCTCTGCAGCCAGAAAACTGCTGGCGGTAAATGTTGGATGCTTACTGCCCATAGGTATAGGCAGGTGTACCTAAGTCTGATTGATTGGCAGACACAAATGGGCAGGAGTCCCTCCCATGTTTAACTGGAGCAGGAAGGGGAGGGGCTGCGCCTAAACGAACCCATGGCTATGGGATCTTCCCAACAGCAGCCTCCACGCAGTTGCTGAGCCTGTAAGTGTGAGGGACAGAGAACAAGGGAGAGAACAGACACGGTCACCACAGAAAACCGTGCTTTATCCTGACTTCTGTCCTGGCCATAAAGTTCATAAAGGGCCCCTTTCTGTCTGTGGATGGCGGGCAGGGGACTTGCTGAGAGCTTCCTTGCGCATTGTTACGTAACTGCCTGCCTTTCTTTCCCCACTCTCCCTGCTCAAAGGAAAAGCTTCCTTGGTTGGTGCGACACCAGGAATTACCAGAGCTGTTCTCACCAGAATCCAGGTAATTGGTTGGGTCCCGTACAAGACGGGAGATGGTTAGGACCTCCGTGTAAGCAGAAAGGGGTGCTTGGCAAGAGGCGGCATCTTCTTGCCACAAGAGTTGTGCCTTGTCTCTGGGCAGGTGGGCTTCGTGTCTGCAGCATGCCGCTGACTTGCTTGCGTGAGGAATGCTTGAGACCACCTGCCGAATATTGCAAAACTGACCTTGGCCTCCTCCCGTTTCAGGTGTCGGAAAAGCCCCTAATGTTTTTATTGGATACTCCAGGGGTGCTCTCTCCCCAAATTCCAAGTGTCGAGACAGGGCTGAAGCTAGCACTATGCGGTGAGAAGACCACCTGTATAAGCACTCGAGGGCATCGCTTGTGGGGCTTGCGATGGTGTCACATCCCCTTGGCCTTTTAGGAGGCCCACTGCAAAGGTGTCGGGCGGCAACGTGCTGAAGTGCCCTGAATGGCGCTATGTGATCCTTGAGGGTGGCCTTCTCAGCAGGCTTTCCCATAGCGCCCCACCCCCACCCCCGGGAAGCTCCCTCCAGCAGTTTGGGAGACAGAAAATACGGCATCTTTAAACAAGAACTGGCTTTCCCTGGCTTATAATTAAATGAGTAATGCTGCTCCATTTTGTTACTTTTGTTTTGCTCTGTTCTTACTGGCATTAGAGTTGCTTTTAGAATTGTCTTCTAAATATGATTTCAATATTGATATTTTTAGTGTGATTTATACGTAAACTGCTTACCAGTATCGTTCTATGCAATGGCATATAAATGCTACAAATGAATAAATCATAAACTTCCTTGCGTGAGCACAGAATGGCACGAGGCCACATGGGATCTCTCGCCGGAGAAACGGATGGCCCAGCCACCACGCCGGGCCGTTTCACCCCGCAGCCCTGGCTGGCCTTGCAAAAGCGTCTCCTGCTGCCAGTCCCTTGCCTCAGATTCTGCACGCTGTTCTGCATTCTGGACTGTGACGATAGGAAGCTTACTGGAGGAGGGGGTTGATCGCCCAGTGCAGCCTCCGTACTGTTGCAGTCCTCATGATTCCTGGCACTCCCACCCAGATATGTTTTGGGCATGTTGTGTTTTCCCATAATGGGTCTGTGGTTCAGCCCTGGTGATGAAGGTGGCGGGGTGGGGGACGCTGAATCCTGAAATAGCAGAGTTGGAAGGGGCCAGAGGGCCGTCGGGTCCAACCCTCTGCTCAGGGCAGGACTGACTCCCAGTCAAACCGTCCCTCAAAGCTGTCCAGTTGCATCTTGAAGGGCTTCAGGGTGGGAGAGCCCACTGCCCCTGGGTCATTGGTTCCCTTGTCATCCTGCTCTAACAGCCAGAGCCTGGCTTCCTGCAACTTGAGCGCATTAGTCTATGCCCTGCCTTCTGGGGTGATCGAGGAGAGATCTTTGACACAGCCTTTGAAGTCCGTGTAGCGTGCTTTCATGTGCCCCCTCAGCCTTCTCGGGGCCAAGCGTTGCCCTTAGGCCAGTTCCTTCCATCTCTCCGCACAGGGCTCTGTTTTCAGTCCCCGGATCATCCTCCTTGCGCTCCTCTGAACCTTTTCCTGCTTGTCTGCATCCTTTTTAAATGATGGTGTTCTCTCGCCTCTCGTGCTGAGAGCTCTGCTTGACAGTGTTCGGTGGATATAAGCAGGTCCCGTTGGCACTTGAATCCACTAAGTACCTTGTGGGGCAGGAAGGGGATCGTGCTTGCTGCTAATGGCCCGGCTGTGCTTCCCCCAGGAGCGATCCGGGATCACCTGGTAGGCGAGGACGTCATCGCTGATTATCTGCTCTATACGCTGAACCAGCAGCAACAGTTCAGGTGAGATGCTTCAGATCCGGGCTGGGCGAGACGCGGTGCCTTCCAGGCGAAGCCCTCCTGACCCCTAAACGCTCATGCCGTTCATCTGTGCCTGCCATGCAGCTACGTGGAGCACTACGGGCTGGACAGCCCCTGCGACGACGTGGAGAGCGTCCTTAAGAACATCGCGCTGCGTTTGGGCAAGACCAGCCGGTTGAAGATCCTGACTGGCACAGGTGAGCCTGCCACCCGCCCCGCATCCCTGCAGCTTGCCGGGCGGCATTCCATCGGGCTGCTGCTGCCAGGCAGCCCCGTGGGAGAGGACAGAAGAGTTCCTGGGGGCGATGGGATGCGGATGCCAGCGACGAGGGGGAGCGTGCACGAGGAACGCCGGCCGCGGTGCTTCAGTGCCTCCCTTGGGATTCGCCCGTCTGCCGCAGAGGGTGTGGCTCCTCCGGCCGCCCCAGCGCAGGGCTCGGTCCAGCTGAGCCTTTCCCTTCCTCTCTGGCAGGCAACCTGACTGTGACCGCGCCCAACTACAATGCAGCCGCGTTCGACTTCATCCAGACTTTCCGCAAGGGCCTTCTGGGGAAGGTGATGCTTGACCCAGTTCAGTAGGCTTCTGCGTGGTGCTGCCCCGAGGTGGATCCTGGAGCAGGAAAAGCGCAGCTGTCCAGCTGAGCAGGATTGTGGGATGGCACTGCATTCTGCCAGTGTGTTCGGACCAGGTGCAGCTGCTGACAATTTCACTTGCCCTTTTGTGGCCGCAGCTGCCAAACGATCAAGATTCAAAAAATGGCCGGGGAAATTATACACCCAAACTGGCACCTGGCGCTGTTAAGCCTGTGAGTCATTGTTGGCCCCTTTGGTGTTCTGTTACAGCCCTGGACACCTGTTTTAAAAAACCTCACTCCCCTAAATTTGGGGGGTGATGGGAGCTGCATGGGGAGTGTGGTTGCATGCGGGGGGGGGGGTCTGCTGTGTGTCCAGAAAAACAACTATAAGCAGGATCAAAAACCATGTGTCCTAAAATGTACATATTCACCTACCTGAGAAGAATTCCTCCAGGTGGCTTCCAAGAGTGTTACCCCTTCTGGTTTTATCATTGCAGCAGCTCAGTGGTGTAGGAGGTCTTGAACCCCCCCCCCCCCCCCGGAAATAAGCCAGCTCCATGCCCGACTTGCGAGAGGACACGTTGGCGCAACAGCCAAATCACCCGTTAGGCTGCCAAGCGTTTAGCGGCAGCCGCCTACACTGTGCAGCAGGAACTCCTGCAAGGCAGGCCAGTCCACGGGAGCAGGCGCAGAGAGGATGGCGGCGGGTGGGGGTCACGTGTGGAACGCACGGCCTCCATTTTAGGGAGCCAGGGAGCCAGGCGTGGGCTTGAGGGTTGGGCCTGCCAGAGGGCCGAAAAATCTGATGTTCAGCCGTTACATTCAGCACGTGTGCATGCATTATGCCTGCCTGTTTGTTCATGTGTCACATCGACGTTCATTCTGTGTGCGCTGTACACGGATTGTGGAGCTATACTTTCATTACCACATGTCCGGGGGCTTTTGGGCAGTGTGCCAGTGTCCCCTAAGGGCTTCTTCCTCTTGGGGAAAAGGGGCAGAATAGGATGGGGACGATTCCCCCGAAGTGGCTTTCACAGGCCGCCTCCTCCGTGTGGCTCTCACAACCGTCCTGTGTAACAGGTTGGGCTGTCCCTGTGACTGATGCTGAAGCACCCAGTGACTCCCTGGCTGAACAGGGGCTAGGCCACATTTCATGAGTCCGGGTGCAACACTTTTAACACACACCAGTTGTAATTTCTGCATTCTGCAGTAGATGGAAACCACATAGGGATTTTTAACTTCTTAGCAGCATAGAAATAGTAAAACTAAATCTTCATACTTTCCAGTTTCTTGATTAATAAACATCGGAAGTAAGGAATTTCTGAGTGTTAAGTAAATCAATTACTTCTTTTTAAATTCAAGCAATTGTTGCTAAAGTACTGCTGCTCATCTGCATAGAAACAAGTCCCTGTATGTCTGTAGGGCATAGGATTGTGGTGACTGGAAAAAAATCACTAGTTCTTCTTAAATCATTCTAAATATAAGTAGTCCAGCTGCAGTTTTAACTTACCCCTGAGAAACTCCACTGCTAAAATTGAATAAAATGCTTACAAATGGAAAATACTTGCTGACAAGAATTTATTTAATAAAGGGAAGAGGGGAAAGGAAGCAATAGGAACAATTATATATTTAAAGTATTTCTATCCCACTCTTCAGCCAAAAAGTGTTCTGGAACAACTAACATGCAGTCAATAAAACAAGACAATACCCTGCCTGCAGGCTTACAATCTAAAAATAAACAACATGCGAAGGAAAAGAGATAGGAAGAAGGGGGAAATGTTCTTTTCGGCAGGGCTGATGAAATGCCCGTTTCCTCCCTGCCTGTCCCAGGGGCTATTGCTGAATTCCTCCAGGGGGCCCATCCCCTGCCCCTGCTTCTCCTCCCGGGCAGCTGTGCCATTTAGGGTTTTTAAACCGGGGCTGGAGAACTGCACAAGGTCGAGGGAGCCACTTGCATCTCCTTTCACTCTCAACACAAGGATTCAAAAGAATAAATGTAAAGATCCGAGCTTTTTAAAAAATAATTGCAGAGTCCCCAGGAGGGTGCTGCCACCCAGTCACAGGGTGCGTGAGCATGAGGGTCTCGGCCAGACTCGTTCCAGCCTTAGCTGCATGGATGAGTGGCATGTGAGAGCATTTGGCTGCCATTCTCTCCTGCACCATCTGGCCTCCCCGGTGCTTCTGAAACGGCCTCTTTTCCTGCGGTGTTCTCCACCTCTTTCCTCCCAGCCCTTCTGCTCTTCCCAGAAGTGCCCAACAAAAATTCCTCAGGCTCTCCCATGTTAATGCTGCAGGGTCAAAAAACAGTTGTGCTACAGGCATTCTGCGGGAGGGGGATGCCATCCAGTCCCCCATTGCCCCATGCTCGCCTCACAGCGTGAGTAACATGTAGCCTGGCCGTGTGAGGTCCTGTTTCATGAAGGGAACGGGGGGGGGGCGTATGCAGACCCCGCGAGACTCCGTGTTTGGAGTTGCCCGCTCACTAGGTGGCGTTCTTCGAAGCAATGAACTCGCAACAGAGCCTTTTTCCTTTCTCAGCTAGCCTTAAATGAAAGGCACTAGTGTGCCCCTTTGAGAACACAGCTCTGGTGTGCAAGAGCTCTGGGTCAGCGCAGGCTTTCAAAGATTAATGAAGTAGCATTCCTTTCCTCAAGATGAAACGAGCTGGGAGGGAAGCTCATACGGCCCCCAGGCAACTGCTGGGAGGAAAAACAGCGGCCTCTGTGCCCCTGTTGATCTTCCGCGGGCCAGTGTCAAGGGCTTCCCCGGTTGAAGTGCCACTTGAACCTGGCAGATCAGAGAGTTCCCACATTTAGCTGATTTCCCTGATTGTCCATCCAGAAAAATCTCAAGTGTCAGCTTTTCCCAATCTGAGGTGAAGTGGGAGGTTGAGCAAACAGTCCAAGGTGAATCGGAGTCCTATCTAGAGTAAAAAGTGAATCTCAACACCCCAGTGTTCAGGATAAATTATGCAAGTGTTCACAGTATATTTTGTTTGGCAAGCATAGCCGGAGATTGCATAAGGTTGTATCCAATGCTAGTCTAAAAAATCCCATTCATTTCAATGGGCCTACTCATTGGTTACAACCGACTGTAGGACTGTCATTGAATACAACCAATTGTTCGGCAAGTTCTGTTGGTATTAAAATGTCTATTAGATCTCAAAAGTCCTATGGAGTTTTCAAAATTATTTCTGCTTCACACTCAAGAAAAGACAATTATAAATACAACATCAAAAAACATCAAAGGCCTCCCACTTCCCCCAAGTTTTGTCCAGGAGAGATGGACCTGTGAGTACAGAAGAGGTAATTTTGTAATCATGCCTCTCACATGGAAATAAAGCAACCGTAACCCCCGTTAGAAGTACACTGGCCTGTTACTCGGCGTTCCACAGGGTTCTCACGGAATGTAATAAAATCAAGTGTTCACATTTCACAACTTACAAAGTTACTGTAAAAGATACTCTTGGACAAAATAGCCACCCAAATTGGTACAGCACATCTGAGCGGAGTGGACGCGTCCGACAAATCTGGCTATGCATGCACACCCCTTGGGCTAGCTGCCTCGGCCAAAATCCGAAGGCGGCCAAGTTGGTCTGATCGGCGCAAGGCGACTCGGTGCAAGAGCTGGCGTGTCTGCCAAGCACCGGCAAGTGAGGCTGTGGTGGAGAACGTGCTGCTTGGGCAGGGCAGGGCAGGGCCAGCTTCCACTCGACCTGCCACCCCTATTCTGCTGCAGCTCAGGTGGGTCCCTGCGGTGGGACTGTGAGGCCTCAATCCTTAATACACTTCTGTGGAAAAGTGTCTGGCTTTAAATTAGTAAGCTTGTGGTAAGGTCGGAAGATACTAATTGATTAGCATCGAACCTAAAATGCTACTGGATTCATGCTGCACCACCAATGGGAGAAATAGCTGCTTTTGAGTGCGATGCTCTGAGCATGCAAAGCTGCCTTTTGTATTGAAATGGAGCACTGGGTAGTGTTACTTAGACTGAAGTTACTTGGCTAGAAACCTCTGCCAGTCTAACGTTAATTAGCCAGAAACCTCGGCCTAACCTTACTTAGCCAGAAACCGCTTTCAGCGTTCCCAGTGCGAGAGCCATTTCACTGAATACCATGCACTGAAGTCTGACTTTTTATCAGATGCTTCCTGAGTTTTGGCTTTGCATGGATAGCTGCACCAGATTAACGCTGGACCTTCATAAGCACCAAGTTCTCTAAGCCCGCTTCCTTTTCAGTGTAAGGTTAACAAGCAGCCTTCACGACCTCTGCTGAATGAACAATGCGTCTGTCACATTTTTGTAGTGTGCAAGCTCCTGTCAGGAGCACTTGTACACCTGGCAAAGTGTCACTACAGCCAGGAAGCACGAGGCACTTGTCGCTCCTCCTCACAGAACTGTAAACATCGTAGTGTGCATGTGGTAGGTGGTTTGCATACACCTGAAGTTGTCAGGTGCACCGTTTGCTATTTTCTGTTCCCCCCTTTTCTTTCGAGCAGCATCCTCTACCTCTAGCCATTCTGCTCAAGACTTTGCAGCTCAACTCTCCCCTCTAATAGTGATGGAAATGTGCAAGAAAGAAATCGACCATTTCTTTGCAAGGGGAAGAACCCGCTTGCTCTGAGGGACCATATAACTGGGAGGAACAGAATGAATCTGTAACCATGGCAGCTGTTAGCATGAGGGTGGAGTCCCACCAAGGTATTGGGTGACAATACACCTTTCTTCTTCCTTCACAATACTGCACCATCCTTATGATCTCAGGCTAGAATACTGACAAAAATTCTGCCTGAGATGGGAGGAAATGGATTTGAGCACCACAGGGGCTGTTCGGCATGCAGGAATCTAGATAAGCTCGGGTGACGACAGCAGCTAGCATGGCTTTGAACGTTGCGCCGATCTTCAGACCCAACTTCCATGGCATAAGGCTACTGCAGGCACATGTTGCTCTCCAGTGCTTCGGAGAGACTGGGCACCAGAAGAGGGACGGGGTGCTCTGGTCTGATACCTGACAGCACCCAAGACAAAATCCAGATACCCTGATTCTTAGCACACTGCTGCAATTCCAGGATTTATGTAGGAAGGCTCAGTGATTGCACTCAAGCCAGGGAAAGGGGCATCTCAGACCAAATTCCAACCTGTGTGGGGAATGTATGGCCCTCCAGATGTCGCTGGACTACACCCCCCATCATCTCCGGCCACCGGCCGTACTGGATGAAGCTGCTGAGAACTGGAGTCCACCATCTGAAGGGCCGCTTTCCCCACCCACGCTCCAGCAGGACCTCAGGGAAGAGCACGGTGGGGGGAGAAAGACCCGTCTCGGGCGGATGGCCCCCGGCCCGTTGGAGCTGGGGGCCTTCTCAGAGGGAGAAGAACTGGGCCACGCACAGCAGGCACACAGGCAGCCAGACGAAGCGCCTGGGCTGGGCCCCCGACGTCCACGCCCGGTAGTTGTAGCTGCCTCCATCCGTGCCGTTGCCGGACGGCGCCGCCATGTCGTCCGGGTCGCCCTTCCCCGCTGACCGCATCCTGCCGGCAGCCACGGCCGCCGCCGCCCCCGCCGCCGCCCCCCCAGCTGCGGCCGCCGCCACCCGCAGCGCCGTCCCGGACGAGCTGTAGCGGGGCGAGGATTTGGCCCGCCGCGTGGTGCCCCGCGCACTTCCACGCGCCGATCCACGCGCTCCGCCCCGCCCTCCTTTGCCGCTGCTGCTCTCAAAGAAAACGGCCGCCAGCAAGAGAAAAGTCAAGCAGAGCGCTGCGCTCCATTTCATCACCGTCATCGTCACCGGCAAAGTCCATCAAGCCTGCAAGGAGATGGAAACAGACGCATCAGTGCTGCACGGTAACCCTTTCAGCGCAGGAACGTGCCAGCCACCAGGGGGCTCAGTAATTTGGGGTCAAGGCTGAGCACCCCCCAACGTTTGTGCCTTCAAGTGTTAACCTGGAGTTAAGAGGGGATCGCAGCACCTGCTTGGAAATTAGCTGCCATCAAACGGACGATCGATCGCGGCTTCGGGACCGTGCCAAGCGCGAGAACAGCCCTTGTGCGGCCCCACTGTCGAGGATGCAAGATCCTCTTATTCATTCTGAGCTGGCGACTGCTCCTGGCTTGTAACAGGGTGTCTTGATGAAGCATGTGGCCTCCATTTTCTCAACTAATCTCTGCCATGATTTTAAAAATAACCAGGTTTTTAAAGATTCCGATAAATTTTACAGCTGATTTCGACCTACTTCCCAAAACACGAATATCTATTTAAAGGCAGCAGCAAGGGATACCTAGCAAAATTATGAGCATCCTCGGAGAGATGGTTGCAGGCATGATTCTTTGGCTTTTAATATTAACTGTGTTGAAAATTTAAGAACCAGAGGCTAGGAATCAGTTCTAGAAGATCATGGATCACATTTCTTCCCAAACAGAAGGCTTCTCCCTGAAATTCCAGGAAGGCCAGAAAGCAGGATAGCTCCTCTGAGGCTGCTGCTCCTCTTCAGCCAGGATTCCTTCCTTGCAGCGTTTCCCGGGGGAATGAATAGCATGGCAGGGGAAAATCACACCGATTAGGCATTCAGGGCGCACACGCGCCGTTTCCAAGCAGAACCTGGCCACTGGAAGCACCCGGCTGCTCGGGAGGAAGCTGCTGCCCCCGGCACGTCTGGTCCCCGCTCGCTCGGTACAATCCCGCCTCCGCGCGACAGCTGCGGGGCTTCAGGAGCGGAGCGCGGCCTTGGGCGGGCGACGGGACGCGACGCAGCCCGGCAGCGACCCGCAGCGCCCGCTCCGCGCAAGCAGCTCCCCAAGAAACACGGCGAAACTCCCGCCTGCCACGCGGGAGAAGGGCTTGACGCGCGCAAGGGACGTTCCCGCGGGAGAGGCACCGGGGCATCATCCCAGCCTGCGCGAGGAGATGCGCGAAGGTCTCCGCGGGGCCCCGCTCTGCGCGGGCCCGGCGGCCCCCCCCCGGCGCCCCGCAGCCCCGCAAGGGGGGCGCCCCGCGGCTGCCTCGCCGGCTCTGTGCTGGCGGGCGCGGCTTGGCGCCGCGAAGGGCCGGGGACGCCGGGCGGGTCGGATCGGGACGGGGTGGGCGCGGCCCCTACCTGCGCTGCGCACGGAGAGAGGCGCGTCCTCGCGGCGGCTGCTCCCTCGCGGCGGCGCCGGGAAGCCCGGGGGACCCTCGCGCGCCCGGCC